AATGAGTTTTTTGGGTTCATTGAGAACATGGTTGTTGTTCAATAATAAAATTAATCCTCAAAAATACAACTTGCCTAATAATTCTGCACTCCCTGTATGTAGCTGGGGCCTGTAGTGTATAGGTGTGTTTTTGGGCTGTATATTATATGTATGTGTGTGTGCCTAGTGGTGTGTTGCGTTTGCATGTAAGGACTGTATTTCGTGTATCTAGGAGTTGCAGGGGGTGGCATTGTGTGTATGCGTATAGGTGTTGTGCACATGTGTGTATTGGTGTGGTAATAATAGGGGGTGTAGTGTGTGTTTAGGGAAGTTGTGTGTGCATAGGGGTACAGTGGGTGCACAGGAGGTGTATATCGGCATAGTATGAATGCAGTGGTGAGGTGTTTATAGGGGTATAGAGTGTGTAGTGCTTTTGTGTGTGTGCGTATGCAGAGTAATACGTGTGTTTATAGGGAGTATAGAGTTTGTGTAGTGATTGAGTGCAGTGTATAGGGGATATAGAGTGTGTGAGTGCAGAGGGTGTAGTGTGTATATAGGGGGTATAGTGTGTAGTGTGTATATATTGTGTGTAGGTGCAGGGGGTGTAGTGTTATGTATAGGGGTATAGTGTGTAGTAGCAGGGGGTGTAGTGTTATGTATAGGGAGTATAGTGTTATGTATAGGGAGTATAGTGTGTAGGGGGTGTATATAAGGTGTATAGTGTGTGTAGGTACAGGGAGTATAGTGTTATGTATAGGGAGTATAGTGTGTAGGTGCAGGGGGTGTAGTGTTATGTATAGGGAGTATAGTGTTATGTATAGGGTGTATATAAGGTGTATAGTGTGTGTAGGTGAAGGGGGTGTAGTGTTATGTATAGGGAGTATAGTGTTATGTATAGGGAGTATAGTGTGTAGGGGGTGTATATAAGGTGTATAGTGTGTGTAGGAGCAGGGGGTGTAGTGTTATGTATAGGGAGTATAGTGTTATGTATAGGGAGTATAGTGTGTAGGGGGTGTATATAAGGTGTGTGTAGGTGCAGTGTGTATATAGGGTGTAGTGAGTAAGTGGTGGGGTATAGTTTATGTATATATTTTGATTGTTTCATTATTTAAAAAAACTTAAAAAAAATAAACTTACTCCCCTTTCCCCTTGTTACCTTATTACCTTTGCAGGGGGGGAGAGGGAGCACGCTGCTGATCATCCCTGGTGATCCAGTGGGCTAGTGATGTGGTCTGTACCTCCGCAGGGTACAGACCATGCCTTTTTCTCGCGAGAGCTGGAGTTTCAGAGCGTTGCCGCGGGTTACCACGGCAACGCTCTGAAAATATCAGCGATCGCGAGAGGGCTGCTCTGCGTGCAGCCTGGAGGCTGTTTGCTCCGTATCCAAACGGAACGGAGCTCTTCAGAGCCTCTCTCGGGGCCAATCTATGATCCATGCGTGGCGCACGGGGATTAGGGTGTGCCCAGGCACACCCGGCACACCCCGTGCGCACGCCTATGTCTACACTTTTTATTTGGAATTTAAATCAATAGCAATTACTTTCTCGAGGGAGGGGAACTTTTAGCAATTTGTTTTAGACCTGCAGGGGTACTTCTCTGTAAAAGGTTGAGAAACACTGTGCTGCATAATACTTAGCATTTGACAATGCTGCATTAAAAGAAAATACGTAGCTGGTTAAGTGTAAATTATGTGCAAATCATATTTTCACATTTTTAAATGTTCATAATTTCAAAATGAATTAACAAAAATATATATTTTACTTACTCTTTAATAGTTTTATATACCCAATGAAGCTAAAAACACAATGTCATAAACAAACCATTTAATAATAACGAAGTATTTAAAGGGACACCGTAGGCACTGTATCTGCTTCATCTCATTAAACTGGTTATAGTGTATGGAGTCCCCTGGTGCCATCATTTCTTTCAGCATTAAACAATTTTTAATGTTGTAATGTTTTAATGCTAAACAAGAGACCATGGCAGTCCATCCCCTCTGTGCTGCTTTGGCTAATAAGGAAGTATTACCCTGAGCAGCAATGGGCACCTGTGATTGGCTGAGAGTGTCAGCTGACTGCTTTTAACCTGTCAGAGCTCCAACTGACGGTATGAATGGGTATGACAACAAGGAAGTGTGTAATCTTTGCCTTGGCTACACAAACAGAAGGGGCTGGCCTATGGGTGCCCAAGGACTCTTATTTTGCACGAACATGGTGCAACACTGAATGGAAGGACAATGCCAGGGCACTCCAGGCACTATAACCATTTCAAAGAGACAAAGTGGTTATAGTGACTACAGTGTCCCTTTAACCAGGAAAGGCACATTCAGATTACTCTGATTTTCAAGTGCGTCCTGCTGATGTTACCTTACCCCAACATCCAGGGGTTGTTACTATATAAAATACATATAATATAATATAAAAGTATTCTGCCCATAAACAGTCTGTACTGGAGAGCTTACTTTATTTGTTACAAAAAAAACCCCAAAAAACATTTGGGGATAAGTAAAAGATTTGATGAAAAATCTTCACATGGCCACCACACTTTGTTATGCTTTAGTAGTTCAGGAAGAGTTTGGAGGAGTATGATACACGTTGTAGAACTTGAGCCCTATAAATGTTTCTTAGAACTCCTAGGAGTGTGATTTTGCAAGTTTATTTGAATAGCTGCTTGAATGAGTCAACTAGACCAGCATGCATTAATGCCTCCAAGTAGGGCGTGTGTGACACAGTCACATCTGGAAAAAGAAAGTCATAAATGGTTTTGGAGAATGGAAAATTGTGTAGGTGAACGAATCTATGTTGAAAATGTGTAATACAATGATATAGTGTAAAAGCACTTTTTTATCTTTTGCTATTTTTTTATTAACATGCTACAGCCATATGCCTTTTTATTTATTTTCTCCAATAACAAAACAGAATAAGTGGAACACAATAAACAATCTTTGTTTTCAAAAAATACTTGCATCCCCCTACAACCAGGCCAAAATATAACCACAACTGTTTTGTTTCCTTCCCATCATTATTTATGACTACCAGGTGTTACACAATGATACAAATGATGTATTTCCTTAGGCTTCACCTCTGTGTCTTCAATGGACTTTACAGCTGTGACTCCAGTGATTACAGTTGTGCATTTGTTTGTGCATATTTAAACATCTGCAAGTATGATTTGATTTCATAGAAAGGCAAGTCACATTTTCCTTCTCACAACTTGCCAGATATAGTTTCAATGCTATAAACATTGACAAAACAAACTCCAGTTTGTTGAATTCTGAATACTGCATTATTTGTGTACCATATCAGTTTGTTTCCAACCAATGAAGAGTGTGTCAAATATTATACATTTTATCTAATATTCTCATTTGGAAATGGGGCAAATGTATCCACTTGAGAGCCATAATACATGTCAAATGCAATATATGTTTTATGCTGTTTGCCTTTTTAAATGAGCTTTAGGCTACAAAATAGTGTTTATTTACATGCATATTTGTTGTTTTGTTTTTACAGCAACAATTATATATGTGTTGCTGTTCTCTCATAATTTAACCTTTTTATGTTACTTTTCTTTTCTTATTTATAAGCATAGCCTAATGATCTAACAGCACAGTTATATACTAGTTCTAGACAACTATTAGATGGAACTTTAGTGCTAATTTGAAAACTAGTAATGTTTATCTATGTTTATCCAAGTGCTGTTGTTGCTTTTAACATACCCTAATTATTTTATATAACAAAAATTAGGTGTTTTCTTGTGTGCCGGTACAGCTAATGACATTTATTATGTAAGATCTATACTGTTATGCAGCTGTATGCTGGTGATATTAATTGTCTCTCTGTGACATGTCATAATTAGTGATGTCGCGAACCGTTCGCGAACTTCCCGCTGCCTTCAACATGGATGCTTTCCAGGAGGTGGGAGGGTCTGGGAGGGAGGGTCTGCTGGAGATTGGCCGGGATGTGTCAGCTGACCAGAGCTCGCCGCGAACGGTTCGTGGCGAACCGCAGCGAGCTGTTCGCGGGAAGTTCGCGACATCACTAGTCATAATGTCATAAAAAAAAAAAAAATGACAAAAAACAAAAATTGTACAGATAATTTCCATTAACTCATTTTAGGAATAGAATTATAAAACATTCCATGTATTAAAGCCTTGGTTAACATATCTATTAGTGCATATGTATTAGTAAACATCATTTCATTTCATCTCCTGGCCTACTCTTGCTCTATTTGGGGCAGCCATCTGAGAAAACGCCCCGGTAATCATGAACTAGCGAGCATTCATTAATTTTGACATCTTGCACACACTAAGCATCTCAAAAACACACCTTGTGATGGCTTTACACCTAAAATTGGTGCATGGTCCTAATGGTCTTAGCATGTAAGTGGTGCTTCTGACAAAAAACAAACAAGCCTATGAGAGCTTCCTTTAAAAGGACACTCCAGGCACCCTCTTGGCACCAACACAACTAAATGCATTTGATCTGGTTTTGGTTTGTTTTTATTATCATACTGTATTTATCTTCACATATATATAACTCCAGACTCTTAGCCATGCTTCCTATTTTCATATACCATCTTCCCTATTTGACATACTTAATGCGCATACTCAGCTTAGACAATAAGAGACAAGAGTGAGCCGGGTGGCAGATATCACTCCAAACCCACAGCTAGTGGTTGTCCTTATATTATTTGTCTCCTTCTCTATTAGCATGGCTTTGAAATACTATACAAATAATAAAAGGACAGTGATTGGCTGAGCTACATCATTTCCTTCCAACCAGAACAACCTTTTGTAAAAAAAGGGAGTGGTGGCTGAGGAGGTAAAAGTTATGCTATAAAAAGCAGCTAAATATTTGTGTATGTATTTGCATTAGAAAAAGATGATACTAAGATATGTAACAGGGTTGATGTTCCAGGAGGGATAAGCCAAATGGCAAATGATTTAGGTAAACTAGAAAAATGGTCAGAATTGTGGCAACTGACATTTAATGTGGATAAGTGCAAGATAATGCATCTTGGACGTAAAAACCCAAGGGCAGAGTACAGAATATTTGATAGAGTCCTAACCTCAACATCTGAGGAAAGGGATTTAGGGGTGATTATTTCTGATGACTTAAAGGTAGGCAGACAATGTAATAGAGCAGCAGGAAATGCTAGCAGAATGCTTGGTTGTATAGGGAGAGGTATTAGCAGTAGAAAGAGCGAAGTGCTCATGCCATTGTACAGAACACTGGTGAGACCTCACTTGGAGTATTGTACACAGTACTGGAGACCGTATCTTCAGAAGGATATTGATACCTTAGAGAGGGTTCAGAGAAGGGCTACTAAACTGGTTCATGGATTGCGGGATAAAACTTACCAGGAAAGGTTAAAGGATCTTAACATGTATAGCTTGGAGGAAAGACGAGACAGGGGGGATATGATAGAAACATTTAAATATATAAAGGGAATCAACACAGTAAAGGAGGAGACTATATTTAAAAGAAGAAAACTACCACAACAAGAGGACATAGTCTTAAATTAGAGGGACAAAGGTTTAAAAATAATATCAGGAAGTATTACTTTACTGAGAGGGTAGTGGATGCATGGAATAGCCTTCCAGCTGAAGTGGTAGAGGTTAACACAGTAAAGGAGTTTAAGCATGCGTGGGATAGGCATAAGGCTATCCTAACTATAAGATAAGGCTAGGGACTAATGAAAGTATTTAGAAAATTGGGCAGACTAGATGGGCCGAATGGTTCTTATCTGCCGTCACATTCTATGTTTCTATGTTTCTATGTGTGTGTGTGTGTGTGTTTTTTTTTTTTTAAGCAAAACTAAAGAGCTCTGAAGAGAGAGAAAACTAGCATGAATAGGAGTTCAAAACCTACCAAATGCACTTAGAGCAAATCATTCATATTTGTTTCCCTCTTAGTTTCTTTTCTTATCCCCCATCATATCTTTATATGTTTTATTTTCTTCCTTTTGCCATATCCTGGGCACAGAAATGTATACTCCTCTACCCATGTTGTCACCTGTTTTCCCTTCTGTGGGATTCCTTTGAGCCAGTGAGCTTGGTTATGCTTCATGAATAGACCAGCAAGAGAGGAGCGCTGTGCACTCCCCTCTTGCCAGTCACTTGGACCTTGCACCTCTCGCAAACAGACCTGGGGGCAGCAAGCGGACAAAGCTCCTCAGCCGTGTCCAGCCCGGGGAACACTACTGGCTGTGGAGCAAGCCGCAGGCTGTGTAAAAGGGGTAATGAAATGAATCATGTCATATCCCTGCTCCCTGTATTCCTTACAGTGTAGCTGGCACAGTGGCATGGTGCATAATGAGAGGGGCGGAAAACTCAGAGATGGCCCCGGGCGGCAAAAGCTCTGTCTACGCCACTAACTATTATCATTTCTTGTAGTAGTATTTATGCAAGGAGGCTGTTTGTGCAGTCCCTCTGCTTTTGTCAAGTTGTTCACAAATATTTTGCATTCTTTAGAAGTATGGGAAATTCCTTGACATTATCACTCCAGCAGAGGTAGTGTGCTTAGGTGCTGGGGAATCCCTCAATTTCTGGCAAACTGCTTGTAAATGGTTTGGAAAAAAATAGGAAATCCTAAAACTTGAGCTAATACAATGAGATGTAGTTTTTATGGACTTTGACATATTCCTTTAATTGGCACTTGGCTCCTACTGAGAAAATATTAAGTAGAGCAAAATTTAGGAAACACAAAGATATTGCAATAAAATGTTCCAGTTGCATTTTAATGGAAAGTTGCTACAAACTCCTTAGTACTATTTTGTTTAGTTAACACTTAAAAAGATAAGACCCTAGACCAAGTGCTTCAAAGACTGCTTAAATGAATTTAATTAAGAAACATGGTTAATTAAACAAATATATATTTATTTGACTGTTTTCGGTCAGATTCTAATATTACCAACAAATCCTGCTCATCCTAACCTGCTTGCTGCTGTGATTGCTCTGTGTAACACTGGAGTAGCAGGTAAATTAGGCTGAACAACAGTTGTTCAGATAATAGTAGAGTCTGACCCAACATGGCTGCATATCCAGATAAGTTTATAAAAAAAATAAAACAAGTTCTTCAATTAAAAAAATATATAATTAACTTTCATTAAATGTAATAAATGTTTAAAAAACAATAAGTGGAAATGTGATGACAATTGTCCTTTAGCACCGGTAATACAGTGTGGCCAATATCGGCTAATCAAATAGCGGGAAGTGTAACATTAACTACACCAGTTACAAGTTCTGTACAAGAATGCCAATGAAAGAACAAAGGTCAATGACTGACTGGTACCTTCACCAACACCATGTTAGAGAATGACAGCCAATAGCATACTGACGTCACACAGTTAATACAATAACATAGAACAAGCAGGAGAATGGAGCCTGATGCTCTTGTTCGGTTCTTTAAAATAATAAAGAAAATGTTAGTTTTAAACTGAAGCCAGTCTTATACTACTGCGTACATGACATATATTTGGCCACAGAAACAAATTATCCAACAAAAAAAATTACCTCAATATTTTCTACAAAACAAATTACAATCACATTTCCGGAACAATTAGTTTCCCATTTCCTCTCCCTTTCCCATTTCATTTAGATGGTATATGTACATTGCGAAATAGCGGACATTAATCATTGGATGAGAGCTTCATTAAGAAACTGTAATATAATTTAAAATGTATTAATCTTACAATTTCCTCTATATTTGTTATATATATTTATATTGTTTCTACTATGTCCACTGCAACGGATGCAGTATGCAGTTCTATACAAGGAATTATTAATAGGATATTGAGTACAAAGCCATTGTGTATGGACAATGGCAATTAAAACACAGCAATCTTGACAAGGTTTGTGTGGATAGAACTAGTTAATTTAAGGGAATGGTAAAGTTAAATAAGTCATGCTTGCTGCAATACCTAGTTCCTATTTTAGTAGAGAAAGACCATGCAGGACATGTTCTACCATATACCGAAAACATTTAGTGCAAAAGGAATTTCACAAGATATGTCAAATGTAGAGTGTATGTGCATATTGTTCTTATGGTTATCTGGAATAGATTTAATTCCGCCAACTGATGTCACTCTAAATATTTTCACTTTATAGATATGTTATGTATGAATGATCCAGTCTTTCCAATTTCTTTCATGTAAACACAAAGTTGGACACCTAGAAGCTTCACTTATCTGGAAATAAGGAGGTGATGGTGGCACCTTCAACATTAAATTAATTTCCATCACACAATATGAAATCACCATATAGTCAATTATGACATGGAAGACAAGAGCAAGTCCAACACACTAAGACTGACAATCTTTCAGGTCAAACCTCTGCAAACATTTTTTATGGTGGAATTGGCAGGATTTGATAACAGACTGGATGTGAGCAGTAAAGGTGAGGCCAGAATCAAAGATAACACAAAGGCCTCTAAAAACTAGGACTTAGTAAACTGAGGCCTAAGTCAGCAAGCTCTCAAGGATGGACATACCACCAACTTGCAGGGACAGTAGCAACAGAGGATTAGTATTATGAGAGGGAAAAATAACAAGCTCAGTTTCAGAAAGATTGAGTTTTAGAAAATGGGAGAACATTTAGTGGGAGACACAAGAAAGGCAACTGGTGACTCATTCCAAGGCAGCGAGAGAGAGATCAGTGAAGGGGAGATATGGTATAGCTGCATTTCATACTAGGTGCTAGTATAGATGGTAGTATAGTACAAAATAATTTATAAGTTTGCTGAGAGGCAGTATAAAGAAAATAAAAGGGGGACAAGGAAAGAGCCCTAGGGGACTCGAAATCATTTGGGATTAGGGGAGAAAGTGTTACTAGAAAAGGAGACACTTAATAATCATTTGGAGATAGGATGAGAACCAAAGGACAATGTTGTGAGGACAGAGAAAAGTTTTAATATGGGGAGCGTGGTCAGCAGTTTCAAAGATAGTAAAGAGGTCTAGAAAAGTTAGTATGGAGTAGTGACAATTTGTTTTAGTTGTGATTATATCATTAGTTACTTTGGTCAGAGCAGTCTCAGTAGAAAAGAGGAGGCGGAAACCAGATTTTAGAGAAATGAGGAGAGTTAAAGTTGAGATAGTGTGTTGAACAGGTGCAGACAAATCATTCCAGAAGCTTTTAAGAGGGAGTAGAGATATAGGATGGTAGTTAGATAAGGGAACATGGATCAAGAGATGGCTATTTTAGGATGCGTACGATAGTAGCATGTTTAAGAGGAGGGTGGTGATGCCAGAAGAATGAGAGCAGTAGAAGATATGTGTAAAGAATAGCACAAGGCAAGGGATAGAGCTTTTGTAATGTGAGATGGAATGGGATGAAAGGGACAAGTGGTGGGACGAGAGGAAAGGAGAAGACTATAAACCTCCTGCTCAGTAGTAGCTATCTAGCTACAAAAACAGGAGTCAGGCAGTGAGCAAATCTCTCTTCTTAGCTGACAATATCAGTTTTGTGTTACTTTTGCATCTGGTATTGGCACATACAGTGTGTTAACCCCAGATACCTTGGACAGACTGCCCATGGTGGGTGAGATACACTGACAGTGTCAAAGAAATTTAACTCTTTCAAGCCCTGATTTTAAAAAATACATATACATTTTTTAACATTTGCCCTTCCTAGGTGCAGAAATCAGAGGGAAAAACAAACAAACTAAACAAACAAACAAATAAATAAATAAAAGCAATGGGACATGGGACTTTATGTCACATCAAACTGAGTGCAAGAAATTCCATTGCAGTTCTTAGTGACATTTTGGTCCAAGCTAGTGGGAGTTAAAATATAAACCTGATTTAATGGGATAGTGAGGCAGCCAACTGCTAACCAGCTTATGTGAAATATAACTCCAATCTCCAATCAGTTTTATTCAGTTGTTGGCTGAGCTTGAAAAGAATTTTAGTTAATAACTTTATATACGCGTAACAATTTCAATACACGTATGATTACATTAAAATATGATTTTTTTAAAATATGAATTCCTAAATATCAATAAAACCACCCATCTCTATGAGAAGCTTTGGAATTCTCTATAATTGGATTTGATTAAAAAAAAAGCATAGCACTAACAAAAAAACTGGGCAAAAAGGGAATGGATCTTTGTTCTCTGCAAGGCCAGTTCAACAGCTAATGAAAGATAAGTTTTTAAGGCTTAGGTGTTATGACTTCAACCACATATTGGCACCACTGTGCTACTTGTATGAATGCTTCATGTAATAGTAGCATTCCTTTCTATATGGACTGCTCCAGCCATACGCCTCCTTTATAGTAAACCTGACTTGAGTATATTTTTGGAGCCACGGGTAGTGGCATCATTCCAGCAAAATAGATTAGACAGTTGAAATGACAGCTG